ATGATGATGATGATGATGATGATGATGATGATGATGATGATGATGATGATGATCATGTTAATGACGATGATGTTGATGATGATGATGATGATGATGATGATGATGATGATGATGATGATGATGATGATGATGACGACGATGTTATTTAAAAAACCACTCACGGCTGGAATCAGGGCATACTGGAACATAAGATAGTGATTTATCTTGCTCTGGCACTGATTTCTGAAACAAGAGAAAAAAAAGTCATGGATAAAATGTATGGCAACGCTTAGAATCATTTCAAAACGCAGCAAGAAATTTCAACTCTTTCTATACGACCTTTAAAAAATGTGAGGCAGCGTGGTGGAATCAGGCTCTTGTCAAAATAATCAAAATGAAGAAACTTGCATTTTTCCGCAGGTTTATTAAATTTTTGTTTTTTGGCACAACACCTTTCATGCCCATTAAAGAACTCATTTCTGCGTGGATTTTTCTGAAAAACATTGATTAAAGGCACAGAAAACGTAAATTTGCAGTTACCATGGTCTCTAAAACTTTGGAAATGACTAACCTTTGGCGGCCATTTTCTCACTAATTTTACCGCTGAAAACAGGTGACCCCCACCTACTTGTTTCGTAAATATCTTGACTAGTATTTAAGATAATTGGATACTTTTTACATCCAAATAATGTGGGTGGTTGGCGGGTGCTATGGTGTGGTTTGCTCCTTTTTTCCTGTCAAACATCAGTCTAACGTCTTAATCTCTCCTCCATCTTTTTTGTGTTTGTTACTCTCTTGTAATACCTCTAATCACTTATATGACCTTATTGTGTTGCAAGTGCCGTAAAACACTTACTAAAACTAAACTCATCCAAATAAAGACAAGTGAACAAGCTTTAAGATGATACCAATAACTCTACATGACATGCCCAAAAATTGACGAGAGCCTGATTCCACCACGCTGCCTCACCTTTAATACTGTACGTTGAATCTGGTATGTCTGACGTTTGCCAGTGCTGTCAGGTTTGCTTGTTTTTTTTGTATTTTTCACTTCATTTTATTTTCATTCCTTTCCTTTTCTTTCATTTTATTTCACGTAGAGTTGGGTTTTTTTAATTGGGGGGGTTGCTTTGCAGAGTCTTGTTTTGTTGTTTTGTTTTATTTTGGTAAGTGTTTTAAGGCGCTTGCACCTGAATGAGGCCAAATGAGCGCGCGGGATACAATAGACCTTTTCATTTTGGTAGAAACTAATTTTGAATTCTACCTGAATGGCGACAGAAGCATCCTTGTATCAAGTTTGAGCCACAAAGGGATCTTTAACGTGCACAACTCTCATATTATGGGACCTCCAGACTTTTTGCCCTGACCCGAGAAGGCTAGGATTTCTTTTATTTTTACCTACCCTAAGATCAGCCAGTCCAGATTATTCTGACATAAATCTATGGTTTCAACTTACAACTGAATGAAATCCAGGAACATGACGGATCTCCACAGATATAAATTCTATCCATTTGCAGAACACGAAAAAAATGTTGTTGTTGTTGTTGTTGCTGCTGCTGCTGCTGCTGTTGAGACATACATCCATCGGCGCTATTAGTGTGCTATTTTTTTGTGTTTGTTTGAAGCTGTTGTTGTCGTTGTTGTAGATGTTTTTGTTACTCTTTATGTTATTGTCGCATGTGTTGTTGTCGTCGTTGTTGTTGTTATTGTTGTTGTTGTTGTTGTTGTTGTTGTTGCTGTTGTTGTCTTAATAGTTGTTGTTGTTGTTTTGTTGCTCTGTTACTTTTGTAATTGGGGTAGGTGAAGAGTGAGTATATTATGTCTGTTGTATTGTCTTTGCAATGTGTTTTCGGTTGTTGTTGTTGTTGTTGTTGTTGTTGTTGTTTGTTTGTTTTGTTGTTGTTTATAGTTCTCGTATCTGTTGTAGTAGTTGTTGTTGTTGTTTGTTTTGTTGTTGTTTATTGTTCGTGTATCTGTTGTAGTTGTTGTTTTTTCTTATACTTTTGTAACATTTAAGTCACTGTACTTTCCGCCTGAACTACACCATATCACAGACACAACCAGTCTCGAACAAAAGGAGAGAAAAGAAAGAGTTTCTAATCACACACAGAGGCTAATTATACTTCGTGACCAGTCGAAGGAAACAGGATGCAGCACCTGAAGGATGAGGAGGTCGAGATCTGGGTGATGGTTGGGGGGTGGGGATTG